AAAGCATGGGGTCGAGCAGCATCCAGATCTGTCTTTTCGAACTGAAGACCCTGAATCAGAACTCGATCCTCTGATCACTCTATCATCGAACAAAAGAAATGAACATTCCAGCAAAGCAAGACAGGGGGTAAAACCAAGCTAGAACGATTGAGGACCAGCTCTGACCAAGCTCAAGATCCTACCCCAGGCCCTGGACCCGACCAACCGAACAAGACACGTTCTAAAGAGGGAGGCCAAGCTGGTGCGCTGGTGAGCCAACCCGCTCGAGTTCCTCGCTCTAGATCACCTCTGGATGGCCAGTCAGCGGGATTCGAGTCAGTGGAAATTTCGATCTATAAAAACTCTGACGCCTAAATTTAAAGCAAGATCCCAGAACACAGACACCAGACCACACACACATCGGTCTTACCCGAGTATCGTTTTATAATGAGCGCTCCCTCGACCGCCTCAGAATCGTTACAAAATCAGATCTGCATTCCTCGCGCGATCGCTAAAAGTGTGAAGAGCGACAATTGGGGCGAGCATTTCGACCGGCGCGATCTGTGTCTTCCTCTCGAGCCATTCGGCCTTGAGCGCTCTGGGAACCATCGCTGTGAACTGCACAGGGGCGTTCAACCTACGATCAAAAAGAACGGCGCCGATCCGGTCAGGCCTCTGATCGTCCTCTCGCGGATCCGGAGTGAAGCCATCGGTGAAGATGACCAGATCGATCGGTCTCGGCGGTCCGGCTTCAATGAGGGACCTCCACTGCTTCAAGGCCTCGATCAAGGCTGAGTCTAGATCAAAAGTCTCATCTCAGAGATCGGGAACCTTAAATATTGGCGTTCTGAGATGACCCTAAGAAAAGCCCTTCCTACTTTGCCCCGCAACTGTGAAGCGCCGAACATGAGCTTGCCTTTCAGTGTGCCCGCGGATCTCGGGTCAAAACACCCTGATCGCAGGGTTGCATCGATTTCATCGACGAGCTCAATCTTCCGTTCGGGTTCAATAAGGAGTTGGAACTTTTCCAGGTCGTAGGTAACGCCAAGAATATTGGTGGGAGCCCTACACAACTGCAACTTCTTCTGGTCAAACCTAGCAATCTAGCCACCAGTGAACACTTTCAGCGACGAGGCGAGCGCACGTGACGGTTTCGTCCGGCTCAAAGCCGTACTTATCGTCGTAAAAACTGAAAGCAACCAACTTGAACAAGGAAACTAAGATCTCGTTAATTGCGGCTGATCTGCGATCATAGTTGTAAACCGCAGAAACAAGCCCAAAGGAGTGACCAACCATGATGAAAAACTTGGGAACTCCATCTGAAAGATCTTTCAAACAAATCACGGAAAACATACGGTGATCAGGTCTAATGGCGACTTGCCTGTAGGCTTTCCGCTCGTCCAAGACCCACCCACCTATAGACTCTTTCCATGGCGCAGCTGATCTCAAAGTCCGGATAGCAGACACATTCAGATCCGTGGATGGCAACTGCACATGGAGCATTTTTCCCGAACGCGTAGCGAAGGGTTCTCGTTTAACTCTGGGGGGTCTGGGGGTAGAGCCTTGTTCGCGACGCGTCGTCTCAGCGTTTGCAACCGTCCGCAACCGTTCGCAACCGTTCGCGGTAGGGCGCTGCCATTGGGGGATAAGCTTTTGGAGAAGGTTTCTGATGCAAACGTGACGTGTCAGATTCGTGTGAAATAGCGTGGAAGCGTCGTGTGGGAATGTAAGATGTGGAAGTGTGAAGGTTGATTTCGCTGCGCAGGCGCAGCGTTTTGTGAGATGCGCAGTTTTGTGCGCAGTTCCATTGGGATTAGCGTTTGGAGAGTGGTGTTTTTGGGGTGTTGGGTGTGGCCGTGCCATTGGGATTTGCGTTTCAGGATGTCGCACCGAAGCTCTGTTTTCGTGACAAGTCTCAGCTGAAAGGGCGATTTTAGTGGATGGGAGTGTGCTCAGAACGGGTCGAAATCATTCCAAACGTGTGGCGTGGTGCCAATTTTGTTGAAGCTCACCCGATATGATATTGTCACTTTTCGTGGCAGGCGCAGTACTTTGCGCGGGTTTTGAGGTACGCAGGTGCGATTTTGGTGGCAGACGTAGGGAATCGTGAAGTTGCGAGGTGTGACGGAGGTGACATTTTGTGGCAGGCGCAGTACTTTGCGCGCGTTAGACGTGTGGACGCGGAAAGTTTCGTGGCAGGTGCAGGGAATCGTGAGGTAGTGAGTTGCGGTGGAGGTGAATGTCGCTGTGACATTGGGATTGGTGTGTGAGCGGGTCCTCGGAGGGGCTGGAATCGCGAAACTGCTTCGCAGGGCTGCTTGATGCGTGTGCTCCGATGGGTGTTTCGAAGCTGCGGATTTCCATGGCCTTGGTGGAAAGTGCGTTTGCGTGGCACCGTGCCACTGGGGAGCGCGAAACACGCTGGCGTAAACGCGGCGTGTCACTGGTGAGCGGGATGATTGGTGATATCACGTGATACGTTTGCTTCTATAGTATGCGGCGGACCATGCGGCGAAAAATACGTTTGCGATGTCGCAGCGCCATGCGGATTTGCGCCGCCTTGAATGGGTGGGAAGTGCGTTTGCGCGGCGCCGTGCCACTGGGGAGCGCAAAATCATGTTAACGCGGCGTGTTGCTGGTGAGCGGGACGATTGGTGATATCACGTGATATATGTTTGCTTCTATAGTGTGTGGCGGACCGTGTGGCGCAATTACGTTCGCGATGTCGCAGCGCCATGCAGGTTTGCGAGGCCTTAAGGTGGAAAGCGCGTTTGCGTGGCGCCGTGCCACCGTGAAGGTGAGCGGGCTGATTGGTGGTATCATGTGGTTTGTTTGCTTCTAGTATGTGGGCAGACCGTGTGGCGAAATTACGTT